CTTAAGTTGATTTTGTGGCCATTACGAAACATTTCACAAATTAATATGCATTTTCAAAGTGTTTCAATGCATGCTAAATTTCATAGACAATTAGGCACATGGTTTAAGTTAGTTTTTGTGAATTATATATAGATATATATATATCTACAAAACTTTCAATACAGCAGAATTACAAGTCAAGGGAGGTCATTAATGGTGATCTCTGATGGTTTTGCAGGGGTCATATAGTTTTCAAAAACATTGTTTGTTGTTAATTGCCGCACTCAGCAATATTCCAGCTATATGACGGCAATCTGTAAAAAATTGCCTCTGGACCAGACAATCGAGTGATTGACATCATGAGCATCGATCCACGCAATTGGGTCACGATGACATGCATCGACAAGTCAACGAGTCTGAACACCCGATCCCGTTAAGTCACCTCTTACGACAAGCATAGTCGCTTTTTACGGCAAGTTTGGGTTGCTGAAGACCTATTCTACCCCGTATCTTTTTCAACGTAGCTGATGTCTGGATGGTGCTACCGAACAATCCATTACCACATGTTTATGAACTTGCATTAAACTTCATTATAGTGATATCCTTATATGATTTTTTCAACAAAAAACCGAAAATAACTGAACAGCTGTAAACGAGAAAAGATTCAGAAATGATATCTCTAGGTACAGACGGGTAGCCTAGTGGCTTAAGCGTTTGCTCGTCATGCCGAAGACCCGGGTTCGATTCTCGAAGCCCATTTCAGGTGTCCCCCGCTGTGATATTGGTGGAATATTGCTAAAAGCAGCGTAAAACCATACCGACTCACTTGCATCTCAGGTAAGACTTGGTCAAACAGTTTTGAAAAGCAATTTAGTTATGTCATGGCATCACAATTCGGAACACCTTGACATGTATACATGTCTATCTTATGAATATTTATTTCTTGTATGATTGATAAACAAATCATTGCCTTGCACTTAAAATGTTCTCATGCCAAATAAACGAGTGTGAAGATAGAATGTTAAAATCCCTCTGAATTAAACAAAACAACAATAAAAATAATCATTTAAAACAAATTAATGATGTATTCCCCAATTTTCCTGCTTATCACTGATTTACTTACAGATGATCAATATCAATTTCTAATTTCAAGACATATCTGCTTCATGTTTAATAAAAATACCTTCAAAATCTTTACCTCGAAGCATGAGCAGCAATATGTACTTACAGGTGCTCCAGTTAATAGGGTCATGGGAGTTGTCTCCCTTACTCCAAGAAATTGCATGGCTTGTGAACTTGTTACGTGCCTGAAGGCGATGTATTCAATGTTACACAGACACATGACCTTAGACTACTGCTGGCCTTGGCGAGACACCTTAACGACATGTTCTTTTTTCAGTTGGTTTACGGATTCAAATGACCGGCGTTAAAGCTAGAATCATAAATTTTATATATATTTTTAGAGTTACTAAAATTTGCTAGACAGCGTTATCTTGATGTATTAGAAAATAATAAATTACAACTATAAAAATTTGACAATGAATGGTACAGTTAACTTTTAAATAATAATTGACCAAACGCATTGTATACTGACTTGCCAATACGAACACTTTATAAGGAGAACAAAGACTTTTCAGATGTAAATACAGTCTATGTATATAACAGTAAACATCTACCCCTTCAACAGCATTACAAATTTTATTCAAATTAAAATGACTGACCAAAACAACAGTATAAATATAAAAAAACCATATTTAGCTGCACAAATATCATTAATTTTTATTTCAACCCATATTATATAGCTGGTCAGCAAAATTTCATAGACCATGAAATTAAATAGACTTGGCAGCACATATGTCTCTGGAGTGTGTTTATTTCAAAGGGCTACCAAAATCTGGAACCACTTGTAACCCTTAGAATATAACGTCACATGGAATCACCATTTTCCAAATGACGATCTAGCATAATAAACTTCAAACAAGCTTCATAAATGGGGTTAGTGACACAGATTTCCTGCGTGTGAAAGTTTCAATGATCCTAACATAGCATCCTCTTAAAGGTATTAAAACTGTTTTTTATCAGTGCCCTAAAAGAATTTAGCATGAACTTGAGACGTGTTCTAGAAATAGATCTAAATATCCCTCTTCAGCAAATTTCTTCTCTCTTGTACTGTACGGCCTTAGAGTTTTTTAGTTGGTTTATGAGACCGACAAAAATGAAACTAAATTTAGAATAAAAGAAAAAGCATTTACACCAAAAAACATTGGGGCAGGCTTTGTTTTACAATTAGGTGAAATAATAAAAATATGTGATTTTTCTCACTGCTGTTTTGAAAAAAATGGTGACTAATACATACAAAATTTTATTCCAACAATAAAATCAAAAAATTATCTTTCGGTATCGTTGCGCAATCGCAGTTCCGAGATGCTGTGACCTATGAGTTTGTTTTTCCTTCATTAGTAGCAGTACGAAACTGGAAGTTGAAAATTATTAATAATATTTTGAATTTTTGTATTTTGTAAAATAACTAATAAACAACAAAAGGCCTAACATTAATACAGCGTTGGAAATACACCGAGCTCAGGGGATTCTTGAGATCTGATCTTTGAATATAGGGACCTTCTGAATTTTAACTATTTTTATTAGTGATGATTCGGATTCCTGGACTTTTGTGGTTCATTTCTAACTCTAACATAGCATACCCATTCTACATCTTATTTCCAAGAAATAACTATAAATTGGTTTCAGTTGATGGACATATCCAGTTTTGCAACATAGAATCCTAGAGAATAATATGAATGCCTTATAAAGACAAAGAGTCGAAACATCAGACACTTGCAGTATGGAGGACTGAAGTAGTTTTATGGAAGATAATATGAATTCCCTATTCACCACAAAGGGACTCATATTGTACTATTTGTACTCATATTGAAAATAAAACAAAAATCCGCTGAGGGATCACCGGGTTGTTCAATGAAGTACTTTGTCTTATGAACACAGCAAAAAAGTTGCAGGTTTACAAAAACATTATGTCTGGGTGTGGTGTAATTACATGAATTTACTTTTTCTGAAAAAAGAACATTATTACATTAAATTGTAATATTTTACATCTTAACAAGCATGTGAAAATATGTAAATAATGGGAAACTAATTTTATTCTATAGGAGAAACAAAACAGTTCAGGAAAGAAATGAAAATTCAACAAGTTGTTGTGAAAGTAGTACAAGAATATTGCAAGAACACTCTAACTAAAAACACATACCGTATTCGATGTAATAAGCGCCCCGCTCTAATAAGCGCCCACGGTGATATTTGCTAATATATTGGCCAGTGAACAATCCCAATTAGCACCCCTTCCGACAGATCAGTGTACCCAACACTTATTTATTCGCTTATAATACGAACTCGTTTGTTATATGCACCCTTAATTATGGGCAATTAAATTTCGAAAATATGTATCTCTCGTATATAAACATTTCAGGCTGTCAGTATAAACCACGAAATTTATCTTTCGACTCTGTTTTCTTTTCACCAAAAATAATATTCTAATAAGAGCCCCCTATTTCTAATTTTGAGAGCGCCCTGGGCGCTTATTACGTCGAATACCGTATTTCACAATTACAAGTTAGTCTGCATGAACAGTTTGATACATATTTGCAACAATGTTTGCAAAATTCCACAAAGTGTGGACCTCTAGGCCAATAATTGAGCAGATTTCTTCATCATTGTATTGCCATGTCTAACAATGTCCTATTTCACCATTTCCTTATATGAAACAAATGCGGAAGCCTTTTGGGGTAAAATTGATGCTATTTTCCAATAAACATTTCTTGAAAATAAACTTTAACATTCAAACAAAAAGGGGTCAACATTGAAAAAAGTAATTAATTATTATATTTTGCACATTCTGCAAAATGTAGGCTTGATTTGGTCGTAACACAAGAAATATACGACACCATCTATTATACAAATCCAATAAAAATGTTTTTAAATGTGTTTCATCGTCACCTGGATCAATCTACTCTACTAAAATAATGACATATTACTTGCTAGAAACTGGCATACAAAAAACAGTACTTTCCCTATGGCACAAGCTTTGAGATGATGATGAACTCTAACTGACGAAGATGAAATATAGAAGGATGCTACGATGAAAGATTTCTACCTGATGAAGACTTGAAACGATGAAAACTTTGATCAAACTGATGAAATGATTTCTAATTCAACAAACCATCTTTCATCAAACAAGGAGTAGAAAGAAAATGAAACTACTAGATGGATGATTAGGTTCTTGGCCATTATGAGAGCTTACATCAGAGTGACACTAGCCAGAGTGTGCAACTGAGCTTAAATGAAACTGCGGACAGACATTGGATTTGTTTCCAAATGAGAAATGTTGGCTGTTTGAAATACAAGTCTGATCTGCATACAAGATCTGTTAGTCAATGGAAGTCATACATGTTTATGCTCAGCCATTTCTCACGAGAAAAAAACTATATCCTTGAAATTGTTTTGTTTACAATAAGGCCACAAAACTATAAGGTTGTATTTTAAATGAGACCTGCATGTGTGCATATGTTACCGATCCCAGGATAGATCCCGGGTGAGAATAGGTCGTTAGTAACCCATGCTTGCGTCAAGAGGCAAATATGCTGGTCATAAGATGCGACTAACGGGATCGGGTGGTCAGGTTTGCTGACTTGGTTGATGCATGTCATCGTATCCAAACTGTGTGGATGTGTTCATGATATCAATCATTGGATTGTCTCTCCAAACTTGATTATTTACAAACTGCTATCATATAGTTGGAATATTGCTGAGTGCGGCTTAATCAAACAATACCTTTGTTACCATATGACTATCGATCACTTTCATATTCAGAGTGTGTGAGTGAGTGAGTGAGTTGGGTTTCACGCCGCTCTTAACAGTATTCCAGTCATCACGGCGTGTCAGCTTAATGTGGGAGCAAAGCCCGAAGAAATGCAGGTCTCAGACGTTTACCACTTCGGTGAAACCCACGAGTACGGGTATGGGCGAACCGAGATTCAAACCCATAATCATAGGTTTCTGGCGTGCCCAAGGGACGCAACTCTGCACAGCGATTTGCAGCGCCTTAGCTGACTGGGCCACCCGTGGTCTCTCATATACAGAGGGATTTAACTTTGACTATTCATTATCGCTGTTTAATAGTTCTATACAATGTTGTAAATGAATGTACTATTGGGTGAGTTTGGCCTTAACACTTCTTTGTGCTGTATTTCAGTCACACACTGTGTGTCAACTTTTTGTGTAGGAAAGCCATGACGTTTACCCCTTTGCCGAAACCAAAGAGCATGGGGTATGCTGCTGACAAACCAAGAAACAAAATCAGGAAAATCTGGGATTCAAATCTGCACCATAGTTTTCTGGCACACTAAAGGGACACAACTCTGTATTATACTAGTAGGTTGTGAGGTTGAAGGTGTTTCAAGGTTGAGCAGCTGTGACAGCATCACATGGCTTGGCAAGGTTAGTCATTCTACAAACGCAGTCTAGATAGGTACTTTCATTTTCTTTCATCCATGTTTCATAGATGTTGTAATTCTACATATTCAGTCAATGTAATTAAAATCAGATCTTTAATTTCAATATACCTTTTTGCATGAAGATCAGATCTCAGGCATCTTTATAGGAGCTTGTGTCAGGTGGATTTTCTAATGAATCAGTGATGAGGTTTCTAAATTTGAAATATTACTTTGTTACACAGTGGTTTTGGTTGGCAATATGATCTCCGTTATCTGTCTTAAAGATCCACCACCCCGAGGCCCCTCTGTATAAGGACCAGCACTGAGCCTGTTAATGGAATGTCATTTTGTAACTTGAAACTCCACAATCTCTGCTCAGATCCGAGCGAATTCTGACCACTGGAGGACATAGTAATATGAGCGAAGTGTTTTGACCAGCATTTCTGATTTCTGTTCCTCAAAAATGAACTAAAACGAGAAGATCTGAATGTAGATAATAAAGTCACACTATTACATTGTTGTGGATATTTCATACATGATGCTGTTTCTTTACCAAATGGGAGAACCACTCAAGGAATATTTGTGTTCTTTGGGTTTTCATTTGTGAAAATCAAATTTCTGAATTGAGTTTTAAAAAAATGAAGCCAAATTCTTCCAGAAAGCTGACATGTGACTGGCTCATGCATCCTTCATTGAGAATGGGCAGTCAGACGTCGCTCAGGATTTAGCTGGCGCGACCTCCAATGTGCTGGCCTCAGATCTTCATGCAAACAGGTATCATATGGGAGAAAAAGATCTGATTTTAATTAGATTGTTTTACATTCAACATGAAATAAGTTACTGATGCTTATGTCACACATCTAGCACAAGCATACAACATCTGTCTAACCATCCATGGTCATCAGAACAGATACTGTAGACAGTCTCAATAGAATCAGGCACTAGACAGTGGACAGCCATTTGGCCTCATACCAGAAATTAGACACTATACCATTTCTTCGCACACATGGCGACACCTTAAACATATTACCACATCCAAGTTACCAAGTTACAGTTAATAATAAAATAATTGTGAGGTGAATGAATTTCATTGTAGATAATCATCCCTTGCTGTTCAGCTTCACAATGGCGTATGTGACCTCCAATTGATGATGTACGTGTTTAACAAACAACATAGGATCCATATTTCCAAATACATTTTCAAGGTCGAATTCAAGTATCATCTAAAAAATGATGCTATCTTTGCATTGTGCATCCACAGCTCCAGATATAAGTCTTGTTGGTAGCAAATCAGAAAATGAAATTAGGGACTCGTTTCATTGACGTAACCTCCCCAGCAAACAAATTTTGTAATAAAGAATCACACATTATATTTTCTCTACTGTAGTTTGTTCCATGAATAGTATTTCAAAAGCCATACTCCTGGTTTGGGAGAAACCATTGATGTTGTCCCAGCAACGTTTTTTTTTCCAATGAGTGATGAGGGAGTCACGTTTTGTGGTTCTCAGTTGAAGGCTACGAGGACGTATAATAACACGGATGGCAAGAATCTCCTATCACAAACTGATCAACAAACACATAAACAGTAGTGTCTATTAGGAATGATTCTATACAGAAACACAACCTGACAGCTGTTCATTTCAACCAAAACGAAATATACATCCTTCATGGAACTCAACAAACACGGAACGAAAGAAAGTGTAAATGGTAGATCCTTCCGTTTCTGAATGAACTTGGCAAAATTCCCACGGAAATCTCAATTCCTGAAAATAAGACACAGTACAAGGAAATACATGATGAATCCGTTGTTGAAATAAACATCGCTGTCAAAGGTACTGACCCACCTGACGCAACAGCTGTGCAACACAATCACATATATCAAAACAGATCCCTGCCTGTGCGTTGTCAATAACAGTTATAACACGTCGCTTTCAATCCTGAAAATAATTCTCCACGTACACCAATAAATTCTTCTTAAATATAGATCTCATGAATTTAGATTAAACACTTCTACAAGCAAAGGTTCGAGCTTCGTCACATCAAGCTGAGATGCTAGTTGGGAGCTTGTTTCACCGAGATTTCGTACATCCAATAGTTTGAGAAGGAGCTTGGGATATAAAGATCGAGCTTCTGTGACTGAGTACAGGGATTCCAAATACGTTTGCAGCCACATGGAGTATTTTTCCTGGCCCTTGGCAACCAACGCTTTGTTTTTCAAGTTTGGACGATCCGAGGAAAAGAGTTCGATGATGAACAGAAGCATCATAACGATACGATTGCTTCCTGTCAAAATGTGAAATGATTTGACGAACTTGACGTGTTCGGTGTACATTTCTTGTCCAAGTGTGTCCTTGATTATAGTGGGGCTTAACTTGGATGTCGTACCTGTCCCCATCTTGTATTTCCACATCTGTTGCTGCTTGTCGAAGCCCATCGCGGATCTCAGCACAAAGATCTCCATGATTCCGCCCTGATTTGAAAACAGAACAGGACAATTAATATCAGTATGCAAAACAAACACAACAAAGCAGAGTTGGACATATGTCATAGTAGGCTAACGTGCCTCGTACCATTAATGGCAGCCGCATCACAAACAATGCCCTTCACCTTCAGAAACTGTGTGCCTGATTTGTTTGTTTTGTTGCTTGACGCTGCACTCAGCAACAACACAAGCTATATGGTGGCGATTTGAAAATAATCGAGTCTGAACAAAACAATCCAGTGATTGACATCAGCTTTGATCTACGCAATTGGGATATGATGACAGGCATCAAGTAAGTCAGCAAGACAGACCACTCAATCCTGTTAGTCACCTCTTACGACAAGCATGGTTTGCTGGAGACCAATTCTTTTTGTTTGTTGTTTAACGCCGCACTCAGCAATATTCCAGCTATGTGACTGCAGGCTGTAAATAATCGAGTCTGGACCAGACAATCGAGTGATGGACATCATGAGCATCGATCCATGCAATTGGGATACGATGACATGCATCAACCAAGTCAGCGAGCCTGACCACCTGATTCCGTTAGTTGCCTAACCCGGATCTCATGGGTTGTGCCTGCCAGGAGTTAATGTCGGGCTGGTTGCGTAACCGAATGGTTAAAGCTTTCGCTTGTCAGGACGACGTATTCGATTCCCGACATGGGTCCAATGTGTGAACCCCATTTCTGGTGTCCCCCGCCGTGATATTGCTGGAATATTGCTAAAAGCGGCGTAAAATCAAACTCACTGAGTTAATGTCTGAATGTTGTTTAACGTTGAAGTCAACAATATTCCAGCTATATTAATGCATTCTGTAAATAATAAAATCTGGACCAGGAGAACAATCATCAGGTGGGATCCAAAACACAACCTAGGAAGTTAACTAGCATTGTTGATTTAAGACACAAGGTAATTGGTAAGTGAATCGGTAATTTGTAGCAATCTGCTTGAGCAGTTGAATCAGCAAACGTGCACTAGAGACCCAAGGGTTATCCTTTCCTTCATGTGTTCTTTGAAAATTAAGGAGCTCTGAGCAAACCAGCATGCTGTCAAAACCGCCATTTCCTGCTTATCTCATTGGATGCCAGTTACTGTATTCGACATGATAAGCGCCTAGGGTGCTCTCAAAATTAGAAATAGGGGGCTCTTATTAGAACATTATTTTGGTGAAAAACAACAGAGTTGAAAGATCGTAAATTTCGTGGTTTGTGCCGACAACCTGAAATGTTTATATACGAGAGATATATTTTTCCAGAATTTAATTTCCCATAATTAAGGATGCATATAACACATGTATTATACACGAATAAATAAGTCTTGTGTACATTGATCAATCGGAAGGTTAATTGGGATTGTTCACTAGCCAATATATTAGCAATTATCGCCGTTGGCACTTATTAGAGCGGAGTGCTTATTATGTCGAATACGGTAAGACATTCTATCAAAGCTCCAGAAAATCTGAACTTGCATCAATACGCAAAATAGATCACCATTAACCAATTATAATTGAGTGAGTGAGTGAGTGAATATGGTTTTACGCCGCTTTTAGCAATATTCCAGCAATATCACGGCGGGGGACACCAGAAATGGGCTTCACACATTGTACCCATGTCGGGAATCGAACCCGGGTCTTCGGCGTGATGAGCGAAGCCTTAACCACTAGGCTACCCGACCGCCCCCAATTATAATTGAGTTTCTGCAAATGCATGTACAAACAAAAATGTTTTTAAAAGTGCGTAATTAGCCAATTAACCTTATCAGCTTACCAGAATAACACTACTCATATTTACTAACTGATCGAACAATGGCATCATCTTAACATTAATTCAACTGCAGTGAATAATGTCCAAGCGCTTACCGTATTCGACATAATAAGCGCCCGGGGCGCTCTCAAAATTAGAAATAGGGGGCTCTTATTAGTACATAATTTTGGTGAGAAAAAAAACAGAGTTGAAAGATTGTAAATTTCGTTGTTTATGCTGACAGCCTGAAATGATACAAAAGAAAAGTCTGTGCGTATCATACACGACAGATATATTTTCCAGAATTTAATTGCCCATAATTAAGGGCGCATATAACACACGAGTGTGTATTATAAACGAACAAATAAGTCTTGTGTACATTGATCAATCGGAAGGGATGCTAATTGGGATTGTTCACTAGCCAATATATCAGCAAATATCGCCGTGGGCGCTTATTACTTCGAATACGGTATTGCAAGTGACACGTTTCATTGTTGTTTTGCAAGCTCATGCACCATCGGACACGTGTGGGGCAACGCATGAACAGAAGAATATTAGCCGTTACCTGGAATCTAAAAAAAATGTCTTTTGATTGGTTTAAAAAACAAAACAATATACAGAATAAAAAGGGAATATTGAATACCCAAAGAAAATAAATACCCAATGTGAATGATAACATGTGAATAAATACGCCTTGGCTAAAAATAGTATCTGCAGCTGTGCTCTATTCTGAACACTTTCCCAGTGGCAGGTTTGAGAATCTCCACAAACCCAAGTTGGACCTCATGCATAATTTATTGCTGAAGTCGTTCGGGAGATTGAGCTGGAGCAATACATTGATAATACGTTGGAGTCACGTCATGATGATAAAACAATTCCCAAAAAAGTATAAAACGTTGAAATCTACATCCTTTGATATTTGTGATGAAGTATTTTGCCATAGCTCTTGTGATTGTCATTCTTCCATGGTATTTGTAAAGCGTAATTCAGGTAGAGTATTAGTGACAAAGGTCATCGTGACCTCGGATGACCTTCCATTGGCGTGTATTGACTTTGTAACAATGCCAACAAATATTACCGTGTCCTTACATCACTGTAACTGGAAAACAGCAATCCTTCTTCAAAATAAATAAGTGATAGATTGATGGATCCATATGGTGATGAAGGACGACTAAATGGGAAAGTGACAAATGGATGAAAGAATGGAAGGTTTTTTTATGAAAAGACTAAAGTAATATGAGCTACTGCCACTGTCAACACTATGAACATCCTCCATTATTCAGAGTATCATGTCGCCATTCTGTTAGCAGAGATTAGTGTCCTCCCAAGGGCGATATGAATTTCAACACGTGAGAAGTACACTTAGAGCATTGAAACCATATCCCCGGGAGTCTGGGTGCGAACCTATTTTCACCACATGGTGACAAAAACAGTGTACTTTTCCTTTCCACACTATTGCAACATCGTGAGCAAGGCTCACTCCCCTCTCATCTAAATGGACTGGTCCAACCTTGGCATGTGCACATGCAGGGAAATACAAAGAAAAATACCTACTGAAATAATGGACATAACAATGAAGTGAAGTGAAATGGGGTTTAACGTCGCGTCCAAGATTATTGCCCTTATATAGTGATGTGCATGCACGTGTGTGTGTGGCTGCTTGTACTAGTCTGGACTTATGCTGATTTATAGTGCTAGCTCACTGAGATACAATGCTGCAGTTTAACATGGATAACCCACTCAGACACAGTGTACCAACTCCTTGTTTTAGCCCTTTAATGACGAGCGTAAGACAGGGTCACAACAAGTACCATCTTTTAATGTCTTTTGGTATGACACGCCTGGGGATTGAACCCCAGACCTTCTGCACTCCGGGCGGACGCTCTACCACTAAACCATAGAGGCAGTCACATAGCAATGAAACCGACAGACTGCAACAAAAGACTGTCAATAGTCTGCAACAGACAAGGAATCGGCAACAGAAAATAATGAGGACATAACCAAAAACTAAGAAAGAGCATCATAAATCTGAGAGCAAAAACAGCACTAAAATACACAGAAGACACACATGCAGAAGTGGACCGTCATGTCACGAGGATCAACAAACAGCAAGTAAATGTGTCTTTTGTTTGTTGTTTATCGCCACACTCAGCAACATTCCTGTATGACGGCGGTCTCCAAATAATCAAGTCTGGACCAGACAATCCGTCGATTGATATCATGAGCATCGATCCACGCAAATGGGATACGATGACATGCAACAACCAAGTCAGCTAGCCTGACCACCAGATCCCGTTAGTCGCCTCTTCCGGCAAGCATGGGTTGCTGAAGACGGCTCATGAGTTCATTTACCACCGCTAATATACAATATTCTTCAATAAAACAAAAACACATAAAATCCCACAAGAACTTAGCACTGTGACTATCATCACTCCTTGTGAAAGAGGTGTTATGACAGTAACAGGGTTAAGATTTCCGCACTCAGCAATATTCCAGCTATACGATAGGGTCTGCAAATAATCAAGTTTTGACCAGACGATCCAGTGATTGACATCATGAGCACCGATCTACGCAACTGGGATACGATGACATGCATCAATCAAGTCAGTGAGCCTGACCACCCGATCCCCTTAGTCACCTCTTCCGGCAAGCATGGTCGCCTTTTACGGCAAGCACGGGTTGCTGAAGACCTTTTCTACCCCATATCTTGAGTCTGTTATAAGTCTATGGGAGACAAAGTACTATGATAGCTTTGAACATGAGAACCCAGGGTCATGTGACCTTAGTCAAACAGCCACTGCACATCAATGTTAAAGCAGAGATCATCATAGTGCTAATGGGGCCCTTGTATTATCATTATCTTACTTTTAATAGATGAATTTGATCTTCTTGAGCTAAGGCCCGGAACTCTGGGATGAGCTTGGCAAACTTGATGAGTCGACGAATAAAGATGTCGGTCATGTTGAACAGATCATTGGATGTCTGGGGTTGAGTTTCAAGGCGCATAGCTTGGGTGTCATGATATGGAGCATCAAAAATGGAGGTATAGACCTGCTCAATTTCTGCAATACTTAGTCGTACATCCTCGGGCAGAGGTACGGGATACGAGTTATCCTTGGGTTCTGATTTTGTGGCGATGTTGTTGGTTGTGGCATGGGATGGAGATGGCTGTGGCGGGGAGTGTTCGCTGAAGTTGGGGCTGTACAGGCCGTCGGAGTTGTAGCTGGTGCTCACCTCTGCGGAACTGCCCGAAGGTGATTCGGATGAGGACAGGGGTTCCTGTTCTGACCGATCTGGGGACTTGGAGTCTTTGAGTCTTCGCCGCCGCTTTGCAAGCTGGTCGTCACCTGCAAGAGCCATGTAGAGTGTATACTACCAAGGGAGTTGAGAATGTAATTTGATTGCACAGTCATCCACTGACGGGGGTAATAGTGACGTAGCACCATGACTATCAACTAAGTTGTTGTTATCATCATCATCATCATCATCATCATCATCATTATTTATGTTGTATGACTCTATATTATCGCGGTACCAGAAAATATCATAATCCATATCCCTTTCAGTTATTTACTTATCCAAACCTTAGCACGATATTTCATCGATTGATCCAATCTCAACTTTGACCGACTAATGGAATGACCAATCAGAAGGCAGCCTTCTCATGCTTTACGGCACAAATTTTAAATTGGCGACTACGCTTCGAAACATATTTTGACAAATTCTTGATTACAAATTTGAAACCTGAACAAAAAACATTCTGGAATGGCTAATAGATGGTCTAGATTGTAAGGATTCAGTCGTTAAACCCTTAACTATCGTTGGGAATACCTCATGTTAACTGTTCAGCAACCAAACTGAGATGGTCTCACTTACTGAGTATCCAGTCTTTCTTCATTCCGATAGTGAAGCATTTCTTGAGACGACATCCTGAGCAGAATTTCCTGGTGTGGGGGTCCAGCTTACAGTTGCCGTCAAAACTACATGAGAATGTCTGCAATACAGGACATAAGATTACACACTTGGTCCTTCGTCTATACCATAAGAAAGTGTTACTCAGATTTGATACCTCTCTCTCTCCAGATCTGACAATCCTTAGTAGGTTGTGTCTGGAGAACCCCAAGAGAACCTTGATCGCCCAATCAAAACAACAGTCATCAGGAGATGACATATCCCCCCATTCGGGGGCATTTCAGAAAAAAGTTTGGCTACTCTACCCGACCTTTGGTTAATTGCCATTGGACACCTTCATTTTAGTTAAGAAAAATATAATGCTGTTCAGTATTCGTCCAAAATCCAAATCATCAAAAGTTCACCAGTTCACCACGAGACGACCTGTACAGCACGTAATATTGAAAGGTTTTAGAAAAATATAATGCTGTTCAGTATTCGTCCAAACTCCAAATCATCAAAAGTTCACCAGTTCACCACGAGACGACCTGTACAGCACGTAATATTGAAAGGTTTTGGAGTTCTGCTCTAGAAACAAGCATTACCCATTTTCAGTAAAGTCAGACTTGTCATCATGAATACATAAAAGAAGAATAAAAACAACAAGCATGAAATACTCACATCCTCCGCCAATATGACATGTCGGGTGTGTGCAATGCATTAGCTCCTGTGAACTATGTTCACGGGGCCTTTTTGTAAAGAAATATACTACGTTTTTCAAGATCTGCTCTGGAAACGAGGACTACCTCCATTTATAGTCTAAATCAAAGTCATTGCCATGGAAACTCGAAAAATAACTTTTAAAAAAAAAAAAACTATCCAAAGGCACCAGTTCACCACTAGACCAATCAATGTGCAAAATATGGTAGAGAAAAATAGTCGGTTTTCAAGATCTGCTCCGGAAATGAGGACTACTGCCATTTTCAGTCTAAATCAAAGTCGTTGCCATGGGAACTCAAAAAATAACTTTTTTTAAAATCCCAAACTATCAAAAGGCACCAGTTCACCACTAGATCTATCTATGTGCCAAGTTTGGTGAAGAAATATGGTACGGTTTTCAAGATCTGCTCCGGAAACGAGGACTACTGCCATTTTAAGTCTAAATCAAAGTCGTTGCCATGGAAACTCGAAAAATAACTTTTTTTAAAATCCCAAACTATCAAAAGGCACCAGTTCACCACTAGACCTATCTATGTGCCAAGTTTGGTGAAGAAATAAGGTACAGTTTTCAAGATCTGCTCCGGAAACGAGGACTACCGCCATTTTCAGTCTAAATCAAAGTCGTTGCCATGGGAACTCGAAAAATAACTTTTTTTAAAATCCCAAACTATCAAAAGGCACCAGTTCACCACTAGATCTATCTATGTGCCAAGTTTGGTGAAGAAATATGGTACGGTTTTCAAGATCTGCTCCGGAAACGAAGTGTGACGGACGGACGGATGGCACCCATTCCTATATCCCCCTTCCACTTTGTGGCGGGGGATAATAATAATCTCAAATCATCACCAGGCGCCAGTTCAACACAAGACTGATCTTTGTAGAAAGTTTGAAAGAGAAATATTCAACGGTTTAGGAATTCTGCTCCAGAAACGGAAAATGGATTGACTGACATGCTGATTGCTATATCACCCTGTTTTTCAAAACATGGGGGTAAGGAAGGATGAGTAGGTTTTTGAGACAACCGTCAGCTTCTTAAAGAGATTCATCTTCATTGACCGCCTTGACACATCATAGGCTTTGTTTGTTTGTTGCTTAACACTGCACTCAGCAATATTACAGCTATATGATGTCGGTCTGTAAAAAATCAAGTCTGGACCAGACAATCCAGTGATTGATGTCATGAGTACTGATCCACACATTCGGTATATGATGACATGCATCAACCTAAGTCAGCAAGCCTGACCACCCGATCCCGTTAGTCATCTCTTAAGACAAGCTTTTTACAGCAAGCATGGGTAGACCTATTCTACCCTGGATCTTCACGGGTCACAGGCAGCCATATTAATGTTTGGTGAAGCAGAAAGTATTGAAATTGTACAATTTAAGTTACAAGGTATTATCAAAGGAAGTGATGTTTGAATCACTTAATTATCTTCATGACTATCAAAACCTGTTCGGACTGACATTTTGCCTGAGCATAGCGCCTCTATCAAACACAGGGCTCTGTTCTACGAAGTGATCATTGGCTCTGTCGTAAGTCAGCTGGAGCATCAGATTTACAAATGCTGTAGTGCTATGGTCACTTTTAAGAAACGGGCCCAGTTCTGTGGGGTCCTCAGTCCATGAAGTTATCACAGACAACTGACATTCTATCGACAAAATCTCCCCGTCTCATCACCCTCACCTTTGCTTTCAATGCATTCCTCCTGAAGAAAGCCTTGCACGATTCACATGTGACTGCATCGAAGTTGTAGCCAAGGGCCTTATCACCACACACTCCACACACCATCTGGGTCCCATCTTTAGGTTTAGGACGCCGCTTCTGTTCTTTCTTGATCTTTGGACGGGACTGGCCATACTGAAAGATTAAAAGAAAACAATAAATTTTCTTGTAAAAATACACCCAATTCTGACAAAAATGTTACAATACTCTTGTTAACCAAAAATTGTTGTACCATTCATGATAATTATGAAACGAGTCAGTTCAATGAGCCATGAACATCATATTATCCCGACCATCATTGTCATGATCATTATTTTCCCATGTACAACAGTCAGAAACATCATCAAACCATCATCATCATCTACCGTTGACAGCATCATCAACCATTGACATCATCATCTACCAATGACACCATCATCTGCGATCAACACCATCATCTGCGATCAACACCATCATCTACCATCAACACCATCATCTACCATCAACTACCATCAACACCATCATTTACCATCAACAGACCGTGGTCTAGTGGATAGAGTGTCCACCTGAAGATCGGAAGATCCAGGGTTTGTGTCATACCAAAAGACGTTAAAAGATGGTACTTGTTGTTACCAAGTCTGGCGCTTAGCATAAAGGGGTTAAAACAAGGATTGGTCGGCTCAGAGTCAGTATTCTGTGTCTGAGTGGGGCATTTATGTTATGGTGTGGTATCTGCGAGGGCACTATTAGAGAGAGACACACACCTCACACCACACTCTCTGCCACACACCACAAACACACACTCTCTGCCACACACCACACACCACAAACACACACTCTCTGCCACACACCACAAACACACACTCTCTGCCACACACCACACACCACAAACACACTCTCTCTGCCACACACCACAAACACACACTCTCTGCCACACACCACACACCACAAACACACACTCTCTGCAACATAGTATAACACTTATCCCTCCCGACCTAATAAGGATATACCTGCAAGGACACTGAGGTCACATCCATCAGTATTTTGCAGATTGGTCAAGAAGTTGGTCGGAGATGCGTATTGGAGAGAACCATTTGTTAAGGCAAATATAGCAACAGTGCTCTTCCTGTGATGGTGGGGAGATGGTAGAACATCACAGGTCCATTAACTTGAGTCCACTCCTTGTACAGCCACTGCAGCATCTCCTGTTCTTCATCAGTTCTCTGTTCATCACATCTACCAGCTTACATTAAGACATTGGAGTTTCTGACACTGGCTGTTTTTAATCCTCTTACAACTGACTTTCATTTCATGGCAATGGTGTTCTCATATTTCCAGACATGGAAAGTATTCACAAACACGTAAGAAACAGTGCCTTCTTGATCTAAACATAGCAATTTTCTTCTTTTCTCTTTCTTTAAAGTTTCTGATGTGAACATGAAAGTTGGAGACTTTTGATCACAGACTGATGACTGTATTCCCTGAAAAGGATGATGGAACCCTGCAAGTTTAGCTCTCCTTGTGTATCTCAGACAAGTGGTTCAAAACCTATGGGGTATCCAAGTGTTAAAACAGTCTCTCGTCACACTGAAGATCCAGATCGGATTCCACTTATGGGTAATTGTGAAGTCAGGTTCTTGTGTTTGCATCCTAATATTACTGGAATATTACTGAAATATTACTGGAATATTTACCAGAATACTGCTAGGATATTACTTATTTTGGCATTTTACTGGAATATCTACCAGACTATGGCTAGGATACTGTTGGAAACGTGACCAAACCCATTACAAACATGTGATTATCATATTCGACGAAATAAGCGCCCCGCTCTAATAAGTGCCCACGGCGATATTTGCTAAAATATTGGCAAGTGAACAATGCCAATAAGCACCCCTTCTGATTGATCAATGTACACAACACGTATTTACTCGCGTATAATATGAACTCGTGTGTTATATGCACCCTTAATTATGGGCAATTAAATTCTGGAAAAATGTATCTCTCATATATAAACATTTCAGGCTGTCAGCATAAACCACGAAATTTATCTTTCAACTGTTTTTTTTTCACCAAAATAATATTCTAATAAGAGCCCCCTATTTCTAATTTTGAGAGCACCCTGGGCGCTTATTACGTCAAATACGGTATACCAATTCTGAGGTTATTTGCAACGTACATCAGTGTATTTTTACAAGCTAATGGTATCTGATTATTATTACTACACAAATGTAAATAACAGATTCGGAATTACCCAATGTTGGCTTTCACTGAGGTCTCAGCTGAAACATTTAAAAAAACTGATCATTCTTTTTGAGGGGTTGTTATTTGCTGTGAGAGGATGGCTTGGTCAATCTGACTAGTCACTAATGGGTCGCCTATTTCTATCAATGCCATCAGGGGGCTCCTCATGTCTGTATGCAGTGAGTGGGCATGAGAGCAGGAAGTCTAATGTTCACTCTATTCAGGTCCGTAGACAGATTTCTCATCCATCAGACTATTCCTTGGATATAGCCCTGTATGACATAGGCGGTACTTCAAAATGAAAATTTCCAGATAACTAGTGGATCCTCTCTATATCAGAAGAAAATCATCTGTCCAAAAATTCTTAGAGCTAACTTTACTGTTGTCAGATGTCCTTGTTACTACGGTAACAGTCATATTATTGTCATTATTCAAGAATCCGCCTTTAATAAATACCATTTTAATGACCTCTCCATGATGGATAGTTTCTTTTCTGTCAATACATCGGCTGGTCTCTTAAGGCGGGCAAGAGGATTAATTAGCAGAATCCGTTAAACCATCTTAGTGAATCCGTTCTTTCAACACCAATTTCATTACCAAATTGTTTGTCCTTGTCTTCATCCCAGACTGGTCTAGCAGTATCCTGATGCTGTGTGAGTGACTGTTGTTGGTTCGACAATATAAAACCTAAAACTAGTGGTTAATAGCATGAGCAACTATCCATGCCATCGGAGCATGATGACACACAACCAGCCATTAGTCACAGAGCCTGACTACCTGGTCCATATTAGTCAGCTTTAATAACAATGGGATCTCGTAGACCAGTTCTTTAAACCTCGGTATCCATGGTGACAATGACATGGGTGAGATTGTCTATGCACTGCTGTTTTTATGAGACATTGTAGACCAGTTCTAACCTCGGTATCCATGGTGACAATGACATGAGTGAGACTGTCTATGCACTGCTGTTTTTATGAGACATTGTAGACCAGTTCTAACCTTGGTATCCATGGTGACAATGACATGGGTGAGATTGTCTATGCACTGCTGTTTTTATGAGACATTGTAGACCAGTTCTAACCTCGGTATCCATGGTGAAAATGACATGGGTGAGATTGTCTATGCACTGCTGTTTTTATGAGACATTGTAGACCAGTTCTAACCTCGGTATCCATGGTGCCAATGACATGGGTGAGACTGTCTATGCACTGCTGTTCTTATGAGACATTGTAGACCAGTTCTAACCTTGGTATCCATGGTGACAATGACATGGGTGAGATTGTCTATGCACTGCTGTTTTTATGAGACATTGTAGACCAGTTCTAACCTCGGTATCCATGGTGACAATGACATGGGTGAGACTGTCTATGCACTGGTGATTTTTTGAGACATTGTAGACCAGTTCTAATCTCGGTATTTTTCTAGATTTGTCAGCACCATACCCGTGCTCGTGGGTTTAACCGAAGTGGTAAACGTCTAAAACCTGCATCACTTCGGGCTTTCCTGCCACATTAAGCTGACACGCCGCGATATAACTGGAATACTGCTAAAAGCGGCGTTAAACCCAACTCACACACACACACACACACACACACACACACAGAGTTTGGATGATGTTAGTAAGAACTCCATTGGAAACAAGAAGTAATATCACTGCTGCTTAAAACAACACTCACTCCCTTTATGCAAACTGACAATCTACCGTATTGTCTTGTGTATCGTGTGCACTTGAGTATGATGCACACCAACCATTTTTGGGGACAATTTACAGGAAAAATTGCAGTTACATATTTTGTGCGCAGACAAACACCACATCATGTTAGGCGAAAGAGCAAACTTGCGATAAAATATGTTTGCAACAAAACATCACAAGACATGATTAACACTTTCCTGTTATGCTTAGCAGTGCTTCATATGCAGAAATTAAGATTGCTCTAACTTTCAGATCTACAGGTGATTAAGTTAAATACCCAATATTATAACTTTAAAGTAACTTAATGCAACAATTCGGATTAACTGTATCTGATACTTTTATTGTCCGCGGTCTTGCTATTTCAACCACAAAAACAAATAATGCTGACATAAAATAGTCCAACAACAACAAACAGGACTTTTTAGGAGTCAAAGAACCCAGGTGATGATCTTTGGGTGAAGTCTCCACAAGAGGATATTCATTGGACCAATTAGACCCATTCAAGTTCAGGGCCTGCCTCCATGGTCTCGTGGTAGAGCGTCCGCCCAGAGAGCGGAAGGTCGGGGGTTTGATCCCGGGCCGCTTTATACCAAAAGACATAAAAAGATGGTACTTGTTTTTACCCTGCATGGCACTCGGCATTAAGGGGCTACAACAGGGACTGGTCACCTCGGAGTCAGTATACTGTGTCTGAGTGGGGTATTCATGTTAAACTGCAGCATGGTATCTCAGTGGGCTAGCACTATAAAATCGACATTTAGTCCAGACTAGTACAAACAGACACACACACGTGCATGCATGTCGCAATAAGTATATGTCAAGGGAAGTAACTTGGACAGGACGTTAAACCCCATTTCACCTCACCTCACCTTAAAGTTCAGGAGCTGAACTATGAGCTGAACTATGAGCTGAGTCATTACAATTTCGAGTTACAACTCGACCCAGTCACAACTTCACTACTGACACAGCCCTGACAGCTCTATTGCAGGATCTAAGGCAGCCTTAGAAATGTCAATTATTCACTGTATCCTTCCATTCAAGTGTCTGACAATGTACGGCCCTGAGTTATCCATAGGTTGTTTCAATGCCAGACATGTTCACCCAGGACTTACAATGGGGGAGTCGGATCAGGAGTTGACGGAGGACACAACATGATTTCTATGGCTGTGTGCTGTGTACCTGTTGCCACAGCCAAGCGAGTGTTGTTTTCAAAAGTGTG